TGACCCCTAGCTCCTGTGTGAAAGCTTGGCGCAGGTCCTTCGCTGCCTCCGACAGCCGCTGGGTGACTTCGGCCTCGAGGCCGTACGACGACACCGTGTCGTCGTCCACATGCGACGCCAAGTCAAGGTCAGGGTTGCGCTTCACAAACCCGCCGAAGGGCTCGAGCGCATAAACTCGCACGAAGATGCCATTAAACATTGACCCAGCTGGCAGCCCGCTCTCGGCGTGCAACACCGCCAGCACGCGGCCCGTGCCTCAGAGGAGGATCCTGGGTCCTCTCCAGAAGCTATGCGCAACTTTGAGAATAACAAGGTCTAGCCCCGCCCGATGCCCGCGGTCCCTGAGGACCTTGATATCGAAACTTTCGCAGTACTTCGAACCATCCGAAGAGAAGCCCGCCGTGGCCCCGCCCGCCTTCAGCCGCTCGGGCCTCCGCTTTGACCGCCTGGTTCCACACGCTGCCTTCCGCCGACTTTCCAGCTCCGAAAGCCCAGTACCTTCGGGGGTGACGGTCATTAAACGGCGTGAGTCTAGGGCGACGCATTCTCTCACAAAGCGTAACTGGGGACGAACACAACAGAATCGGGCGCAACCCACCTTTGGGCTTCTCCAGGAGGGGAAAAGCATCCAGTACAGGGCCTTGGGGAAAAGTCCCAGCTCATCCACGCTCTGAAGGAAAAAAAAAAAGCGAGGCAATCCAGACCCTCGTCCGACATGCAAGCGAACTGTCGCACATGCGCCCCGTCCAGGGATTGAGCCGTGTGCGTCGAGAACATCTTAGAGGCGGCCCTCAATTCGGTCGCCGTCGCACGTTCAAAACAATGTCTGTCGGGGACTTCGACAGGCGGCGGGGTGCTAGTGGCGTTCCAGAACCCCCCTAAAACGTCAGCTTCTCGAGCCAGCATCACCCGCGGGTCTGACGAGAAGATCCCAGGGCTGGTTTCAATCACCGTCGGCTGCCACTGCGCCTTCAATCTAGTTAACCGATGCATCTTCCGAACCGAACCTGGCAACGCTTCCGTCTGCCACTGGTCCCAGCTTTGCTTGGCCTTACGGTCGAGCCCATCGCGGACCCCCTGAAAATCCTCAGCCCATTCTTCCAGAATCTCCGAGCAGTGACCCGTCCACCCAGCAAGCGCGACGAGATCCTGCGGCCACGCGGCCACGGGTTCCCGCGCCTTGCGGACGGTGAGGTCGAGTCTCGGCGGCAGACCTTCCGCTTCAAACGGTTGGGAAGTGATGCGCACCAGATTCACAGCAGCTTCAACCTCGGAATGGTCCACGAAACGATCACTTTGCGCCAATAATCGCAGGCTGGTGTTGGCAGATCCGTCATTCCTTGCTGCAACCACACCCAGCCCTCCCCAATGCGGACTTCATCCCCCTCCTTGCGTCTCGGGGGGGGGGGGGGGGGGGGAGCGCAGGGGCCCATTCAGCTTGTAATTGTTTGCCTTTTAGACCTTTACGCTTGACGGGAACCCCCATGCGACTTTCCAACTCTAACTCCAAGGTGTCCGAGAACACCTTCCAGGCTTGGTCCAGGATTCCCCAACTGTCCGCAATCTCAACGTAATCGGCTCTACGGTCGGCTTCCTCGGCCACAGCACGGGCCACGGACCAATCAATCGGGGGGGGGGGGGGGGTCCTATCGGCAACTCAACGGGCAATTTCTGGTGGGTTTGGTAAACCAGCTGCCTAAGCTTCGCAACCCCGGGCCTTGAACGAAGTGGAGCAGGCCGATGGGGTCTCCTGGGCCATGTGCCGTCGACCTCCGTAGCCTCCACGAGCTTGCAGAAGGCCGCCGACGCCGAGAAATAATCAGTCTTGGCGTTCGCTTTGTATGTAGCACATGTCTCAATCTGCGGCTGCATGATAACCATGGGTGCTTTTCGTGGCATACCCGACGCCTCTGCGACAACCGGTGAAAAGTTCCAACCTGCAGCGAACGCCGATAAATGCACGCCTTCCAGCGTATCACCTGCATGCTCAAAGATATGGAGGTTCCTCTTGCTGAGGCCCTCACTGGTGTACATGTACGCGCATCCTGCATGAAGTTCTGGCCAACCAGGGATGTCGATCGCGGCAAACCTGAGGCGGTGCGGAACCAGGACCCCTCTGGGTAACTGTTTGGGCCAACGAAGGCCTATCGTGGCACGAGTCAGGATCGCCACTCCCGCAAACGTTTGCCCACCATCACACTTAATAGACGGTGTGCGCAGCGTATTCCACCCCAAACTCTTGGCCGTCGAAGTGCGCGCAGCAAGATCTTCATCCACGATGCCCACTTCCTGAGCAAACACCACGAGCCCCTGTGCACTCGCTAACCTCTTCTTGAGAGTGCCCCAGCTGTTGCCATTATAAGTTTCAAACACATGAGCCTGACCGTCAAAGTCGGCAGGGGCGGCGGACTTAGGCGGATAGCCAACTCCGTGGGCAGAAACTCGCAATCCCGTGCATTTAGGCCCTGGATCAGACCTTACACGCTCGCAACAAAAAGGTGGTCTGGGCGGCCTAAAAACTTCGCGACGAATCGATGGTCTGGCCTCACTCACGAGCTTACGCTCGCCAAAACTGTCGCCCTGACCATAAACCAAAACATCGAGCAAGTACCGAGCCGCCTTCAAATCCCAGCACTGCTGCGCCGCGAGCCACTCGTCGTCGCAGATGACCGAGAAGAATACCACTGCCTTGATCGGTAGCACTCGAGCATCTTCACGAATATCTGCGCCAGACGGTTCTAGCTGAGTCGTGAGAACTCCAGGCTGTTTATCTTCGCCGCTTCTGGCAAAACGTTTGGACGAGCTGCCCACTTCCTTGGTCGTGGGCCATGTCCCTATTGCCCATGCTGGGCGGGTGTCAAGGGGACGACGTCTTGGGCTTCTTGAGCTTAGCCCCCATGAGGGGTTGGGTGAAGGCACGCTTGCCACCTCTGTGCTTCTCCCAGGAAGCCTCAGCAACGGCCTCGTCAGTGAAGGCGTCGTCCATCTCCGCATCGGGCGGGGTGGGAACATTGACTCCACCGTCTGCGTGACTGCTAGCACCTGGCTGAGCACGAGCGCTGGCGGCAGCGAAGTGCGACGTGAAAAGCGTCGCGAACTCCTGGGACTCGCTCGAGGCCAACATGGCCTTGAGCTCTTCCTTGCCTTCGAGTAGCTCCTCAGGCAGGTTGAGCTCCAGCGGCGCAACCTTCTCATCCGAAGCAGCAGCGCCAGGCAGTGACTGTACACGTTGACGTTGAAGTTCAGCCACCTCTGCTTCGGCTGCTGCTGGCCGCGACTTGATCTCATCTGTTTTGGCGTTGAGCTCCGCGAGCAGTTTGACATGCTCCTCCAGCTCACCCTTGACCTTCTCGAGTTTCGCCGACGCCCGCACCAGCCGATGGCCCGCGTTGGTGTGTTGGGTGATGCTCGGCTTCCTGCTCTCGATCTCGGCGCGCAACATCTTGAGCTTCCCCTCCAGCACAATGCGCGCCTCTGCTGTGTCTTCACCTTTGCCGCAAGCTTTGATGGCCAGCTCGAGCTCCTGGGCCCTCGCCAATAGTCCATCCTGTTCATCTCCTCCGCTGCCATGGGACTGGCTGCCTGGCGCCGAGCCGCCTCCCTGGGTGCCGGCTGAACGGTGTTGCTTGCCATCGCCCATGAGCTGGTCGATCCGCTTCTGCATGGCCGCAATCTGGGACTCCAGCTTGGTCTCGCGCTTGGACCCTGCAGCGGGCAGTCGCCCTTCAGGAGGGTCAGCACGATCACGGCTCCCACCACCAGCACCGAGCGCCTTGGCGCGCTGCAGCACGTAAGCGGGCGCCCTCGCTCCGCAGCGGCATCGCAGCCTGCACGCCCAATTGCTGGTGAGCCCGCAGCCCTAGCATGCCCAAAACGGAGTCTTGGGCCCACGGACCACGTCTCCTCCATCCATGAAGACCGCTGATGGCAGCGGTCGAAGCCCTCGGTGCGCCGAGGGATGGAAATGTTCCACCAGGAGCTCACTGAAAGAAAGCCTGAAAGCACGGGGGCCTTGAGCCGCCCCCTTGGCTGCAATCAAGCTCCAACGACGGGAGCCACGTTGGAACTTGAGCCAAACTGGCTACGGGTATGTGTATGCCCTGTTTCATTCTTCGATGAACGTGTTCCCCCCCTGGTGCTGATTGTGGCGGTGGTGTCGCTTCTCCTCCCTCCGACTCTTGTGGGTCGTCGGCGGCAGGTCGCCTGCCGTTGGCGCTGCGACCGCGCGCGCAGCTACGCAGAGAGGTCGGTCGGCGAGCGAAGTTGACCCAGAGCGCTCGCCGGGCCCTTAGGCGGCAGCCAGGCAGGGCACCGCAAGGCTCAACGAATACCCGCCGGTCAGAAGAAGCACGTGGAAGCATAAGGTAGGAAGGAAGATCGACGTGGGCTGGGTTCGGGCCCGCCCGAATAGAAGAACACACACAACACCAGCAGATCGGTTCTTGAAGTAGGAGGGGGCTTACCGAGGGCTCTGGGAGACCACAAACGCTTCGTGAACAATCAACGGGCACTGCGCGGGGACTCACGGAGGGGGGCATCCGTGAGCAGGACGAGGCAAGGGTGAGGGCAGCAGATCACCTGCACCGATCCTCGCCAGACCCATCCTGGGCCCAGGGTGGACGGTTTCCCCCGGGGCCGTAGGCGACCCGAGGAGGAGGAGGAGGAGGAGGAGGAGGAGGAGAGGAGAGGAGGAGGAGGGGGAGGAGGAGGAGGAGGGGAGGGGAGAGGAGGAGGAGGAGGAGGAGGGAGGAGGAGGAGGAGAGGAGGGAGTAGGAGGATATGAGGATGAAGGAGGAGAAAGAGGAGGAGGAGGAGGAGTGGGGAGGAGGTGGAGGAGGAGGAGGAGGAGGAGGAGGAGGGAGGAGGAGGCGGAGGAGGCCAGGGAACTTCGCACACGCCCTCCCAGCGTGGCCCGGAGGCCCCGTGCCACTCTTCCCTTGGGCCAGGGCTTGGCCTGGCCAGGGGCCGGCGCAGGCGCGCCGTTTTGGTGCCCTCCGCTCCTCGGCCTCCTCCGGGAGCCCCATGTGCAGCGCGACGTCCGCCATTGAGTCGATGCGCACAAAGCGCGCCTGCTGGTGCAGATCCCTCCTCCTCCGCCTCCTCCTCCTCTCCCCTCCCTCCCTCCTCCTCCTCCCTCCTCCTCCCTCCTCCCTCCCCCTCCTCCCTCCTCCCTCCCTCCCCCTCCCCTCCCTCCTCCCTCCTCCCTCCTCCTCCTCTCCTCCCTCCCTCCCTCCTCCCTCTCCCTCCTCCCCTCCCTCCTCCTCCTCCCTCCTCCCTCCTCCCTCCTCCCTCCTCCCCTCCTCCTCCTCCCTCCTCCCTCCTCCTCTCCTCCTCCTCCCTCCTCCTCCTCCTCCTCCTCCTCTCCTCCTCCTCCTCCTTCCTCCTCCTCCTCCTCCTCCCCCGCCGCTCCCGACCTGAGCTCCGGGCATATGATCGGCATGTTCACTGCGAGAGCCATTTTGGACTCCCTCACTCCCCAGGGTCCGCTGAGCGCGTGAAGGCAACTTCCCCTCAAGTACTTACGTGAGCCCTGTCCTGCCGAGCTCCGTACCGGCACTTGCCAGAGGCTGGTCGACTCATGCCCCGCAGCAAGTTGCTGCAGCAGACGAAGGGACTGCACTAACAAAGGACCGTCCCTTGTTGCTGCCTCCTGACCTGTTGCGTGCAGTACCTTGCTGAATTTTCCGCCCACCTGGGTTACTCCCTTGGTGCTGATGCTATTAATCTATTGCTGCGAGCGCCGCCACTCACCTGACCAGCGAATTGCTGAACCAGTTGCGCAATCCAAAAATCCCTCCCTCCCTCCCTCCCTCCCTACTCCCTCCTCGCTCCTCCCTCCTTCTCCTCCTCCTCCTCCTCCCTCCTCCTCCTCCTCCTCCTCCTCTTCCTCCTCCTCCTCCTCCTCCTCCTCCTCCTTCTCCCTCCTCCTCCTCCTCCTCCTCCTCCTTCTCCCTCCTCCTCCTCTTCCTCCTCCTCCTCCTCCCTCCTCCTCCTCCTCCTCCTCCGCACACCAGCTCCGACCGTACTCCGCTCGTCGCGCGGCAGCGCGCCGGCACGACGCGCCTGCTCCCTCTCTGGCAGCTGCTGGTACGCCTCGGTGCAGATGTCGAAGGAGCTGACCCCCCCGCGCCCTGCACGCTGCATTTGGGGGAGGGGCGAGCAAGAGGGCGAGAAGTGGTGAGGAGGGCCGGGTGGGGTGGGGATGGAGGAATGACGAGGAGGAGGGGGGACTGTGGAGGGGGGATGACGCGAGAGGAGGAGGGAAGGAGGGGACGGGGAAGGACGAGGGGGGAGGGGAGGGGAAGGACGAGGAGGGGACGGGGATGAGGAGCAGGAGCAGGAGCAGGAAGAGGAGAGGGGAGGAGAGGAGGGGGAGAACCTGTGCCGCGCTTGTGCCACCACGCGCCGAACTCGAGGCTGGAGCCCTTCGTGATGTAGGCAGGCCCCCGTTGCGACCACCAGTCCAATCCTTCCACCTCCTCGCCTCCTCCTCCTCCTCCTCCTCCTCCTCTTCTTCTTCTTCTCCTTCTCCTCCTCTTCCTCCTCCTCCTCCTGCTCCTCCCTCCTCCCTCTCCTCCACCGTCATCCGTCCTCCTCTCTCCTCCTCCTCCTCCTCCTCCTCCTCCTCCTCCTGCTCCTCCTCCTCCTCATCCTCCTCCTCATTATCCTTTCCATCATCATCATCATCATCATCATCATCATCATCATCATCATCATCATCAACATCATCATCATCAACATCATCATCATCATCATCATCATCATCATCATCGTCATCATCATCCGCTATGCCCCCCCTGGGAAGGAGAGGGGCGAGGAGACGGAACATCGAGAGAGGAGGAGGAGTGGGAAGGGGTAGAAAGAAGAGGAGGAGTTGGAGGAGGAGGAGGCGCAGGAGAAGAAGTCACGACCTCTCATACGCTCGGGGGCCCGTCCTTGCCGCGCGCCGCCGCAGCGCCGCGCCATCGGGCCCCGCAGGAGGTTGGCGCTCAGCGCGGCCCAGAGGGTCGCGGGCGCTGGGAGCGCCAGCAAGCGAGAGCAGACGCCGCCACAACGGGGGGGACCTTGCAAGCGCAAGAGATCACCTGCCTGGCATTGCCGTGCTCGCCGCCAGAGCGCGGAGGCTTATGTCATTCTCAGGCTGCACGAAGCAGTTCCTACGCTTGCGCTTCGCCATTCTTCAGGGGAGATGGCGCGAAAGCAGCAGCATCAGCAGATGTCCTACCACAGCCAGCAGCTTTCGTGGATAGGTGCTGTTTCTCAATCTGGATGGATGTGTACTTCCTGTGCCACATACACCACCAACGAGGACACCAGGCGTCGCAATAAGAAGCGTGGTCAATCTCATCGGCACCATAACCAAACTACTCATGATGATAGCAGCAGGACGAATGATAAGCTTCAGGTGCAAGGGGATAGCAAGGCTTGCATCCAGGATTGCATGATGTGTGCGACAGGTGGATGCTACCTAGACAAGTATGGATCAATCGCCACCCAAGGCAGCAGGAGCTGTTGCACGTCAAAGAGATGAGCTTCATTCTGGGCAGAATAGTCTCGCGGAGATGGTGGTAAAGGGAAGGGGGGCCATGACGAGAGCTGTGTCGAGGCGGAAGGAAACGCCGATTATACGGCTCATGCTGTGGCAGCTGAAGAGTCCATCGGAGAGGGGAAAAGGAAGCTGGTGATGGATTGTATGAGGCAATTACGAAGATGGAGCAACTGAAGAAACACGTGGAAGCTATCGACATTGAGAACTTGTTGGGAAGCCAGACAATCACTTACTGGAAAAACTTGTTGAGAGAAGTGAGAAAGAGGGACATGACAGGCCAACACGTTGGCACGCTCACCACCAACAGCAACTGTTGAGACAGCGGAGGGCCCACCGCCTCCACCACCGCCACCGCCACCACCTCCTCCGCCAGCACAGCCAGTGAAATCGGGGATGAGTCATACGGGGGCATCAATCAGGGCGGTATAGTTCAGCAGCGGCAGTGGACAACAGCAAGCATGTCACACCGATAGTGGACGGGAGATTCGTTCGAGGGTATTCTTCTTCAGCTTCGGCGGAAGTGACGAGCGCGAAGGGCGGGGTCAGCCAGTTGGGTAGGCAGAACAGAAGTCAGGACGACACAAAGGAGGCCACCTCGTGAACCACGTATTAGGACTCAGTGTCTCCGACACCACCTACGAGGAGTCAGTCGACTGCTATGAGGAAGCAGATGAGCGATGAATACGGAGGGCAGTTACCAGAGGCAGAAATACGTAGTACTCTGGTAGCGCGTGGGATAAGATTGTCAAGCGGAACGGAAGCACCTTTATCTGTACCCCCACCGCCTGCACCAGTGGCTCCACCAGCTGTTGCGATTTCAAATTCGATGACGAGTCCCCCCACAGGTCCGCCACAGCGGGAGCCTCCTACGCCAGCAGTGTTTTTCCAGGGCAGCCCTGCTTCGGCCCGTGCTGAAGGGCAAGTGCCAGTGGTGAGCTTGGATATTGAGGAGATGAGGCAACACTTGCAACAATAACAGTGCATTCAATCAAAGGGGGCGCCAGCAACGGCACATTACTTCCATCTCGAGATCCGGCAGCAGCGGCACATGATGGAGAAGCCAGCGGCGCACTGGAAGGGTATGGCAGCACAGCGTACGCACAGGGTTAGGCAGAGTGCAAAGAAGCCTGCGGAGGGCCTCGCGGCCCCAGCCCGTCGTGAGGCTCAGGAGGCCGGGAGGCAGCAGGAGGATACCATGCGAGCACGTGCTGAGCTTGAGTCACAACAGGAGGAGGAGAAGCACGAGGGGGTGGTGGTGGTGGAACAAGAGAAAGAAGAAAAAGGATACACGACGGAGCGAGATGGCCCACGGCCACAATTCGGAAAACACGGTCAAGGACCAGAAGAATGAGCTCGCCCAGATCGAGAAGGCTCGCAGGGACACTTTGGAGCCCTTGGAAGGCCAGCAGCAGCTTCATGACCAGGACTTCCAGCGCAAGTGGATGGAGCCTGCGGAACAGTGTGCAGGAGTGGAGGAGGAGCGCACGAGAGCGGTTGAAGGGGTATGTCAGGCAGCAACTCGCCATCGCATGCACGTGGGAGAGATCCCGAACCCCAAGGAAACCATGGCCCAGCACACCCGTCGGAACAACGGCCCGCGGCGGAAGCAGCGGCCGTCAGCAGTGGTGGACCTATGCATTTCACAGAGTGTATGCATCATACCGTAGGATCGATACCTGCCGGAAGCAGTCAAGGCAGAGAACAGGCCATGTTCGAGCAGGAGCTGGCCGGGAGAAGTGGGCAGCAGGATCTGGTCAGCATGGAGCATGCCAGATACCTGGACGATCAGACACCTCCCCGTATAGTGTCATCATTATCAACATATCCCCCTACTGCGGGAACCAGGGCAATCGATTACATGTTGAAGCATCGGGATCGCGTACGGTTGCGGACCTGCTTCGGCGCGAGCCTCGACGGGGACTCAGGAGCAGGAAGCGTTTGCGGTGATGGCACCACATGTCCTCGAGGCGCTTGGACTGACACGTAGCGCGACCCCCTCCCATACCTCTGGCCATGAGGGGCACCCGTGGAATGACATGTCAGACCCGATTGCAAAACATGCGCGACAACGACCACCTGCTCGATTGCCAGAGTGTACATCACCTCCGTGTGCCCCCCGGGGCCGTTGGGGATGGGCGCCCCTGCGCGGCGAGCGACGTCGTGAGCCTGCAGCATGCCAAAAGATAGGCAGCTCAGGGTTTCGCGATCATCCTTGTCGCCAGCGGGTTCTACCAACTACCTCGGCGACTACAGCCTCAGGCTCACCTACGACGTCTAAGTTAAATGTAAAGGTGTCCACGTATAATGCCCAACGTGCCCCTTTAGGAGGCCACTGGGACGCAGGCAGACCGCTTCGAGGGCGGCTGCTTCGCCTTCAGCCTCAGGAGCTCGGTGTCCGCATTGCCGGCCTGCAAGAGGCACCATCACCTACTGAGCCAGCTACTCTGATGGATAGTTGGTGCTAGCGTCAGGCGACACGACGAAGTTGGGATGTTGCCTGTTGGTTAACGTGAAGCTACCCTGCGGCGAGAGCCCCAAGGGCTTCAAGACTTTTGAGAAGCCTGATGCGCGTATCGTGTACTCGGATTCTCGAGCATCGGTGGTACGATTACGTACCCTTGGCATGGATGGGTACATCTACCACTGCATGCCCCTCATGAGAGGCAGGACAAACTTAGTTCAGAATGTGGTGGACAGGTATTGAAGAGCATGTTACGAAGTGGAGCCCCAGTATCATACCCAGTGATACTAACGCGGAGGTTGGTCGCACAGAGGCGACTGGAGGCCAGACCATCACACCAGGAGCAGGCGAACATCATCCGACCAATTGAGCGCCAATGGACGATAGCCCAGGCTCCGTAATTCGCAAGCTGCTTGAAGATCACCACATGTACCTGACATCCACTTTTCCCAACGATGGGGGGCATGCGTATCGCTCGATCGCCAAGACCCTTTTGCGACTAGACCACGTCATTGTCGATGCTGTGTTTCTTGGTGCATGTCGGGCGTGTTGGGTCGATTGCAATTTTGCTGCATATTGTGAAAGGGGAGCGCCATTACCCCGTGATTGCAGAGTTCTAGCTTACCATCACAAAGGGGCCACCAAGGCGCAATACATAAGCTCAACTAGACGAAGCTGAACCTGAAGGGCGCGGAGTGCCGCAACAAGTTCAAAAGGTGTTCTCGACGAAGCTGACTTGCCAGACTGAGAGCTCGATGTCAATGCCCACTCCACGATGGCGACCAATCATATGACATCGGCCGGTAGGGCATGCTTTCGCAAGACTCGTCACTCGTCCCTGACAGATCACGCCATAGAGGACACCACGAAGGTGGTTCGAATACGACATGATGTCAACCGTGCACAGAGATGGCTGCCGCACCACAACGCCTCGAGCCCTCCATGGGTGGCGCTGCTGGCTCATAACGGATGACCCTCTGCCTCACCCTGCTCGTGGGAGTCTGGGGCATGACCGCTCCGTTCGCTTCAGGATGGCGCGCGCCACGGCCACCTCCCGGGCGCGGCGGGGGGGGGGCGCGCAGGGCTCCCTCGGCCCCGAGAGGGAGGGGGGGGAAGGAGACCAGGAGTGGAAGGGAGGAGGAGGAAGATGATGATGATGGTGAGGAGGAGGAGGAGGAGGAGGAGGAGGAGGAGGAGGAGGAGGAGGAGGAGTACAGTAGGGGGAGCAGTGGAGCAGTGGAGGAGCAGGAGGAGGAGCAGGAGGAGGAGGAGGAGGAGGAGGATGAGAGGAGGAGGAGGAGGAGGAGGAGGAGGAGGAGGAGGAGGAGGAGAGGAGGAGGAGGAGGAGGAGGAGGAGGAGGAGGGTAGGGGGAGGAAGGAGGAGGGGGGGAGCGGAGGAGGATGAGGACGAAAAAGAATAGTAGGAGGGGGAGATCTCGAGTGGAGGAGGAGGAAGAGGAGGAAGAGGTTTTGCCGTCCTCCTCCCTCCCTCCCTTTTCTCCTCCCCCCCCCTTTTCTCTTCCTGGAACGACTGGCCCAGCACCGGCCGCTGGCGGGGGCCTCCCTGCCTTCACGTCGCAGCACGCTAGGAAGTCGCGGCCGTTCTCGAAGGCCGCAAGCCCCGCCGGCGCCGGCGGCGCGCCCGCCAGCGCGCCCGTCTGTCGGGGGGGGGCGGGGATCACCGTCGGGTTTCGGTTGCCGCTCTCCTATCCTCCTCCTCCTCCCCCTCCTCCTCCCCTCCTATCCTCCTCCTCCTCCTCCCCCCCCTCCTCCTCCTCTCCTGCTCCTCCTCCTGCTCCTCCTCCTCCCTTTCCTCCTCCTCCTCCTCCTCCTCCTCCTCCTCCTCTCCTCCTCCTCCTCCTCCTCCTCCTCCTCCTATTCCCCTAGCAAGACGAGGACAAGGAGGAGAGCCCGCTCTGGGAGGCCCGGTGGTGCGCGATCACCGCGCGTCGCGCCTCCCTCCTTCCTCCGCCTCGTCGTCGTCGTCGTCGTCGTCGTCGTCGTCGTCGTCGCCGACGGCGATCGCAACGAGCCACTGACCCCCGCCTGCAGCAGCCCGGTTTCCGCAGCCGCGGCCACCGCCGGCGCCGGGTCGCCAGGCGTGCTGCGCAGCACGTGCGAGGCCGGCCGCGGCGGCGCCGGGGCGGCGGCGGCCTGCGGGAGGAGCCCTCCCCCCCCCCCCCCCCCCCCCCATGCTTCCAGCTACCCCTCGCTCCCTCCCTCCCCACCCTCGCTCACCCACTCCGCCCCAATGCCCACCCCCTCCCCGCCTCCTCTCCTTCCTCGCGCCTCCTACCAGCCTCATACCATCCTCCCTCGCGCCTCCTCTCCCACCCCTCGCCTCGCTCCTCGCTCTCGCTCCTCTCCTCTCCTCCTCCTTCCTCCTCCTCCCACCCTCCTCCTCCCCTCCTCCTCTTCTTCTCCTCCTCCTCTTTCTCTCCTCCTCCTCCTCCTCCTCCTTCCTCCTCCTCCTCCTCCTCGCTTCTCCTCCTCCTCCTCCTCCTCCTCCTCCTCCTCCTCCTCCTCCTCCTCCTCCTCCTCCTCCTCCTCCCTCTCCTTCTCCTCCGGAGAGGCGGGGAAGGAGGGGTGAGGGAAGAGGAGGGATCGAGGGAGGGGCGAGGAAGAGCGAGGGGGAGGCGGGTGCGGAGGAGGAGGCCTGGAGGAGGATGCGCGGAGAGGGGGAGGCGGATGCGGACGAAGAGGCGGAAGGGCAGGGGAGGTAGGATGCCCAGACCCACTCGCGTCGTGGACCAAGAATCACGGCGGGAGATGCTGTTGCCAGTGCTGGGCGGAATTCGTGCTGCGCAACCAACACGGCGGGTCACGATATGTGCGAAAAATTGGCATGACCTCTCTCGCATACTACAGAGGAGGAGAGGAGGGGAGCGAGGCGAGGAGGAGGGGAGGAGGAGGAGGAGGAGGAGAAGGAGGAAGAGGAGGAGGAGGAGAAGCGAGGAGGAGGAGGAGGAGGGGGAACGACAGCTAAAGCGGGAGGATATATAGATACATATGGAGAGAGAGGGATATCTATAGAGAGAGATAACAACAAACACAAGAGGAAGAGAGAGCGAGAACGATATATATATATAGAGAGAGAGAAAGAGAGAATTAACACAACAAGAGAGAGAGAGAGAGAGAGAGAGAGAAAAAGATAAAGCAAGGAAAACAGGCGTTCCCAACGAGTTTAGTGTACCGAGAGTCTTCTTATACAGATCTAGTGAGGAGTTCGCCTGGTGTGGCCAGGATGCCGCTTGGCAGTGGTAGTCGCTGTCAAAGCAGGTTTGCCACGCTGGTGGGTCGCAAACTCTCTGGCGACCACGCCTCCACAGGCGCAGCCGGAAACACTTCCTCGGAGCGCAGACCACGCTCCCGCAGCAGCAAGGTCGGCGGGCTGACGAGGGACAGAGGTGGTAGGTGATTACCTACCAGACCACCCCAACCCAACCCGAAGACCCGAATTTCGGGTTGGGGGGGGTAAGGGTTCCACATGTGTTTTTTCGATGCTTCCCGACCCCCCCCCCACTGGAAATCGAGGGGAAATCTGAGCCTTCGGGTTGGGTTGGGGTGGTCTGGTGGGTGGTGAGCAGGCCCGGGCCTAGGTGGCCAGAGCCTGGCGCCGGATGGCACCCGTCAGCACTTTGGGGCTGCAGCTCTCCCCGCGCCCGCCCGAAGCAGACGCACCGTCTCGGCGCCCAGCCGCAGCCGCGCCACTGCCCTGCGGCGGCGAGCCCGCCCCCAGTCAGCACCGCGCGACGCCCCTGGCCAGCACCGCGGGCGACGTGCCCTCCGAGGAGGGCGGCGCGGCACCGGCCTGGGGGCAGCGGCTGCCGGTCGCGAGCGCCCACTCATGGACTTCGCCTGGTGCACGGATTGGGCCGCACAGGGACAGACCAGTAGTACATGTCCTCCTCAGAGGCGCGCGTCCGACCCGAACAGAAAGTATAGCCATCTCGTAGTGTACCGGCACATGTCCTCCTCAAAGGCGCGCGTCCGACCCGAACGCAAAGTATATAACCATCTCGTATAGTGTACCGTTTCCCGACCGGTGCGGCCAGGAGGCGCCCGCCACGACGCATATACTAGCAGGTTTCTCAGTGCACGCGTCGCCCCTGGCGGGGCGACGCGCACCTGGTATCAGTAGTTATGTGTTGGGGGCGCCGAACCGAGGCCGCTCGCCGTCCTCCGCAGGCGAGCCGTCCTCCCCTGAAAAACGGGGTAGCGGTTGGAGGACGCGTCGCCCCGAGTCGGGGATCTGCTCACCCGGGTCAATCCAAACCCAGGTCAGTCGGGCCTTGCAGGATCCTGCAGGATGCTGCAGGATCCTGCACCCAAACCCAGGTCAGTGCGACCCTGGCCCTGCAGGATCCTCCAAGATCCGGCACCCTGGCTGACCCCCGTTTCCATTGACTCCCGTCTCAAGGCTCCCGACCGAAACGGGATCGCCCGGCGCCGCCCCCCGGGCCGCTCTGCTTCGGCGACATCTTGGGGGACTTCTTGAGGTCATCGTCCGCGCCGTGACCGCCTAGGGGGGGGACCTCGCTCGAGCGCGCCAGCTGGCGCTCCTCCCTTGCCTTGCGCCTCTCCTTCAGCACGGCGCTCTCTTCCGACAGCGTCTGAGTGCCCCAGGACTCGAGCGCTGGCGCGGCTAGGGCGTGACCGCGGCGCCTCTCCTCAAGATTGGTGCTGTCGCCTCCGGCCGTCGCCTCCACCAGCACGCGCGCGCACATCTCCTCCAGCAACTGGTAGCGACGGCCGACCAGCTCCAGCGACGCCAACTCCCTGAAGTTCAGCTGGTCGTGCGTCAGTGCGCACCCGAAGAGATGGCTGAGGGCCTCATGCTCGCCGACCCCGCAATCGGCGGGGCCAAGGCTGAGAGACTGCCTCCACCAGCAGTGTCGACGAACGGGGGTCAACTCCTGCCGCGCGATCTCGCAAGCCAGCCACTCCGCTGTCCGAGGGCCACTGATTGGCCAGTCCGAGAAGGCGGTCGTCGTCGTCAGCGAGGCCGCGGGGAGCCTGACTCATACCGAACGGAGAGCGCTGCCGCGTGGAGCCTGACCCATACCGAACGGGGATCGCACGCAGCTCGCCGGCAGCATCACCAGGAGCGCCGCCCTTGCGGGGCGTGGGCTTCTGCTCGCCAGGCTCGACGAAGCGGCACGGGGCCGGGACGCCCTCGGAGCGCACCACGCCGCGGGTCGCCGAGACCGCGGTCGCCTCGGCTCCGAACGTGGAGGTGGAGACCCCGTAGGGCGGGGTTCCCGCTCGAGACTTCCTCGCGATTTGCTTGAAGACGAGCCCCGCGCTCGAGACTCCACCCACATGAGCGCACCACTATCATCATCATCATCATCATCATCATCATCATCATCATCATCATCATCATCATCATCATCATCAGCATCATCATCATCATCATCATCATCATTAGCATCATCATCACCAGCATCAGCGTCATCAGCATCATCATCATCATCATCATCATCATCACCGTCATCATCACCATCACCATCATCATCACCATCACCATCATCCTCCTCACCATCCTCACCATCATCATCATCAACATCATCACCATCATCACCATCATCAGCATCATCACTGTCGCCACTCAGCGAGGGCACCCGCCCTCGGTGAGCTAGTCTGGATGATTATGGTGATGACTGCGATGATGATGCTGGTGATGATGATGGTGATGAAGATGATGAGCGATGGTCATGGTGATGATGATGGCGATGATGATGATGCTGATGATGATGCTGTTAATGATCATGTTTACGATGGTGACGGTACAACAGTGCTGATATTCACTGTGAAGTTTGGGCAACGTCGAGATGGGTGCTCAGGATTATGACGATGGTGATGCCGATGCTCATGATGATGACACAGGTCTCATGTGCACTCAGTGCCACTAAAACACACACACAACTTCTTGGGGTCCTTAAGTGCTATGCCTGGTAGAGTTCGCCGATGACCGCGCGGATTACCAACATGAGATGTGGGCCCCATAGAGCGGGGTTTCCCGCTGAGGATTCCTAACAATTCGCTCACAGGCGGGCCTCCCCGCTCGAGACATCCTCAAGACTTGCCTCCTTGGTGTGCTCAATATGTATGCCTGTTGGAATTTGCCTGCGACCCGCTCGGATTACCATCATGCCGTGCGGGCCCATCAAATGGGAACTCCCGCCTCAGACTCCTCGCAATTCACTCACCGACGAGGCTTCCGAGACGGTTTCTGGCGGCGTCCGATGAGCTGGGAACGCTCTAAGATGGCCAAAGAGGACCCCAAGATGCTCTCAAGGGCCCCCAAGAGGCCCGAGGAGGCTCCCAAGAAGCCTTCAAAAGGCCCCCTGGAAGCTCCTAGGAGGCGCCAGGAGGGGCCCACGAGGCTCCCAAGAGGCCTCCTCCTCCTCCTCCCTTTCCTGATCTTCCCCCTCATCCTCCTGCAGGTGTTCCCGCGAAGAGTTTCCAGAGCGGCTGGGGAATACATGATCCGACAGTTTGGCCAAGATTTCGCCCAACGTTTGGCCACAGGGGCGCTTCCCAAAACGGCAGGGGGCGGCGATGATTCGCCGTAGGCGTCTTCGATCTTCCGCCCCCCGTGGCTTGCCACATGAGTGCACGGCATGCTACATGGTTGATGGTTCTCGCTTCTCTTAAAACTTCAAATGGAATCTCGGCCAGGCCCGCCGGCCACCTGGAAGGAAAGGCCGGGACAGTTTATAGCCCGTTGCCCACATCGCCTCCAAGACGGCCAGGATGGCTTCCAAGATGTCTAGGAGGGCCCCAAGAGAGCCACGTATTGCCGAAAGATGCCTCCGTCCGCACAGGAAGCCACCAGGACGGCCCAAGCTGGCCTCAAGATAGCCCAAGACGCCCCAAGAGGCCTCCAAGACGGCCCAAGAGGCCTCCAAGAGGTCCAGCAGAAAAGGCCCGAAGAGGTCAATATGATTGATGTTTCTTAGGGTTTTTTTGTTATATGGTGACTTTGACCTTAGCATCGTTTCGGCCCTCCGATGGCTCAAGACGGCACCAGAGGCTTCAATTATTGCCCCAATAACGTTCAAGAGGCGCGCAAGATGGCCCCATGACAGCCCAAGAAGCCCCTAAGACGGCCCCAACACGACCCGAGAGGCCTCCAAGACTCCCAAGCTGGCCTCCAAGATGGCCCTGAAACGCCCAACGAGGGCTCCAAATCGGTTCAGAGAGGCCCCCAAGATGGCTCCCGACGTCGTCTGACAGGCCAGAAAAGCTATAAGACGGCCGAAGGGGCCCACAAGAAGACCCATAGCGGCCCAAAGAGGCCTCAAAGAGGCTTCCAAGAAGCCATCAGGAAGCAAACAGGCTCCCAAGAGACCTCCTCCTCCCTCCTCCGTTTTCCTCCCTCGCCTCCTCTTCCTCTTCTTCCCCCACTTGTTCCCCGAAGGGCTTCCACAGCGGCTGGGGGAATGCATGGTCCGATAGCGTGACCAAGCTTTGCCCAAAAGTTTGGCGACATAGGCGTATCCTCAAAGGCAGGGGGCGGCGGTGATTCGCCGTAGGCGTCTTCGATATAGCGCACTAAGATGAACGCTGAGAGCGACGAGTAAAGGACAAAGAGTCGACGTACGATACAGAAACGCATAGTGTGGAGGGTGGAGGATACAGGGTGTACGGTAAATATCAAATGCAGATGAGGAGGGCACACAGCGAAAATTAGACAACACATGGAGAACGCTGGATGCAAGACAGAGCGCGCATACTAGACAGAAACCACAGGACACACATGTCCAGATTCGTCATTGCTTGCTCTCGTCCCCCACCCGCGCACTGGCGAGTATATCCACAGCCCACGAGGCCACCACTGCCCACGAGGCCACCATTTCATCAAAAAATCCCACTGTCCACCCACGAGGCCACTATGCGAAGAGGTGGGAAGGCCCTCTCTGGCGCCCGCGTTGTCTGCACCGATCGGAGGAGCGAGAGAACAGCATGATGATACTGGAGTGGTGCGACATGACGAGGACAACAAAGCGCATGGAGCCCAGCGACGCGCCTCCTTGTCGGCCTTGGCGTCGAGGGACACGAGGTTGTTAATCTTGAGCAGCACCTTCTTGCCGCTCTCCAGCTCGACGCCCCAGCGGCACTTCGCTGCGTCGAACTGAAGCAGGCTCCCCTCGAGGCCGTTCAGCTCCGTGCTGCTAGTAAGGCCCTGCACCTGTTGGCGGCGCGCAGCGGGGGGTATGGGGGAGGGGGGAAGGCTTCTCAGAAGCAGGGGTGCTTCTGAGAAGCCTGCCCCCCACCCCCACACCTCCCCCTTCGCGTGGACGAACCTGGATCCTCGATCCGGGCCGCAGCTGGGTCTCCCCCTTCAGCTCCGCGCTTCTGCGCCGCTCCGCATCCTCCTCCCCAGACGCCCAGGCGTCTGGATCCGTTCGAGATGTGATGGCCCCCCGGATCGGGCGGGTGGTGATGGGGGGTGACCCACATGGGGGGTGAGTACAGGGCAGTTTTGAATACATAGGATTTAAAAGATCTGGGATTATCTTTAATACATGATTAATGTATTAATGAATCTATGCATGAACTCATCGTTGCTTTTAATACTAAATCCCTGTATTTCTAATACTGATCCACACGCGGAGCATGTATAAAAAAACGGCACTGTATAAAGGCCCCACAGGGGCCCCTTAGGGCCCCTTCATCGGGCACCCGCTGGCTCCAAAAGGGGCCCTGCAGGGCCCCTGCAGGGGCCTTTATACTCACCCCCCGTGTGGGCCACCCCCCAGCACCACCCGCCCGACTGGGCCTCCTTGGCCCTTCTCCTCGGGCTGGCCCTTCATCCTGAGCCGCCGCTTGAAGGCCGGGGTTAGGTCGGGCATGTCCTCCCACAGGCGGAGCTTGAAGAAAGCATGAAAACTAGTCGAGCAGATGATGAAGAACAACCCAAGAGCAGGACAAATCGTCGCCATCACATGTTTTCACTACTCCTGAAGCTTCCTCCTGTAGGAGGGACATGCCCGACCTCAGGCCAGGGTCCGGAAGGAGCCCCCGAGAGGCCGGAAGTCCGTACGGGACGCCTGGGGCGGAAGGGTCAAGACGTCTGGGGGTCTGGGCTCGTCCTCCATCTTGTGTCTGCGGCTGGAACCTTCAGCTTGGCGTGTCGCGGCGGCGGCCACTTCGACACGCTGTGCCCTGGGAGCTGATGGCGGGTCGCTCTGCCTCGCGGGCCGGGACGCTGGGCAGAGCTCGGGACGTTGATGCCTGGTGACCGGGACGTGGTGAGCGCGCCTGGGGAAACCGCAATGTAACTCCCCGGACCTCTCCCTGGGCGCGTTCTGACCAGAATGTCGCGGCGAATGCGACATTCTGGTCAGAACGCGCCCAGGGAGAGGAGGAGGAGGAGGAGGAGGAGGAGGAGGAGGGGGGAGGAGGAGGAGGAGGAGGAGGAGGTTCTGTGACCCGACGCGCGTCGCGCAGCGGTTGCGGCAGGCAGGAGGAGGAGGAGGAGGAGGAGGAGGAGGAGGAGGAGGCCCAAGGCTGGGAGAATGAAAAAAAAAGGTCGCCGGAATCGCCGACAGCGAAAATCGCTGCCTTTGCCTCCCCGGAGTGCCGACAGCCGAAGCGTGGAGGGCCAGAACGAGTGCGGCGCGGCGGCGCGGCACGCAGCGCAAGCGTTCCTGCCCGTGGGAGCAGCGCGGAACCGATCCCCATCCCCATCGTTTTCCTCCTCCTCTCTTCCTCCTCCTTATCCGCATCTCGTCCTAGTCCTCGTCCTCTCCCTCCTCCTCCTCCTCCTCCGCCATCCTCCTCTCCCTCCTCCTCCTCCTCCTCCTCCTCCTCCTCCCCCCTCCTCCTCCTCCCCCCTCCTCCTCCCCCCTCCTTTGGGAGCAGCGCAACCCAAAGCCTGCATGGCTTTGGCCCCTCTGGTGGATTTAGCCGCCTGCATGGGGACATAGGCTGTTCCCTTCAGGTTTCGAGGGGCCTACCCCCAACTGGGGAGGTGCACTGGTGGAGCTGAGATGCCATAGCCTGGTGAGGATGGGTAAAGGTTAAGTTCACGATGCTAAACGCAGGCTCGTCCTCCATATTGTCGAGCTCGCCCAAGAGCTCGGCCGACGCTCAAGAGGCTGCGGTGTGCGAGCGCGGCTGGCCGGCGCAGGCGCACCAGCCATCGATCGGGGGCGCACACAAAGCACGGGGGTGCTGAGATTCTGGCCTCCTAGACTCCTACCCCGGCCCAGTTTTGCTCTCGACCGTACGTTTACTACTAGTATGTACTCATACGCGTTCTACTACTACAACTACGACTACGACTACGACTACGACTACGACTACGACTACGACTACTACTACTACTACTACTACTACTACTACCACCACTACTACTACTACTACTGCTGCTGCTGCTGCTG